TAGTGAAAGTGACTGAAAGATCTGAAAGCATGGCAGTTCTCCAAAAGAAAAGAACTGCATTTTTGGCAACTGATTATTTAATTGTTTACTCGTGATGTGAGTTAGAATGCACTTTTTGTTTTGAATGAGTGTTTAAATGTAATTTATGTTTTTGTTAGGCAGAAATGCATAAGAGACTAGTGAAAATATATAGACCAAAAAGCTTACAATTACTTGTTGATAGTTAACGTTAGGATTTAAAGTAGCCTCATTTTACTTGAATATAATGCATTATGATACATGTCTCAAAATGCATTTTAGAAATTAAAAAGATATGAAATTGTCTATATAGTTACTAATTACATAATTGAAAATTTCACTTATTTCCAAATTATGTTTTGATAATGATGTATGAAGTATTAGGCATTTTATTTGTCAGATAGAAGATATATTGATTTTTAAATGTTTCAAAAAATAGAAGAGAATTAGTAGTTATATGAAATACTATAGTCAATGTCCATCTAAGAATAATCATAAGAAAATTATTTATGATATAAAGCTAAGATAAGTAAGTAGATCCTTCAAAATAGCTAATTGTTTGATGGGATATTTTTTTGTAATTCCTTCTAATGGAAACACTTAACAGAATGGCCATTTGTATAAGTCATGATTACACAGTAATAAATTTGTTAAGATGCATTTATATGATCCTGTGTAATTTGCATACACAATTTCTCACATAAATCAGATAACATGGGTCAAATGTCATTGCTGTAACAAAGTGTGATTATAAAAGTGCCAATTTGAGGTTTGGTACCATGATCCTGATATTGAAAATATGCACTATTTTAGCTGACCCTAAAAGGCATTTTTTTCCATTAAATAATTGTATTGAAGAGTAGAGAGGCATCTGCCAAACAGTATTAAAGTAAAGAATAAGGTATAGATAGTAAGAATGTTCTTGTAAAACCAGAGATTTGATGAATTTATTCATATTTGTTTTTCCTTTTTTTTATGATGATAATCCCCCTTGTGGACATAGAGAGAGCTAAATTAGCTATCTTTACAAGAGTCTTTATCTGTTACATTATTACATTTTGTGTTACATTACAGCTAATACACCAAACATCAGAGACATGCTACCATGATCTTATAGGAAGGGTTTTCTGAGGAGTGATATCTGTATGTATAGGGATTTATATGTGCATATATGTTTGCATATGGATGTGTTTGGTGTACATACGTGCGACTTTATGTCTGTGTGTGTATGGATTGACATGAAAGTGTATCTCCCTTTCCCTCCCTTCTTTCCCCTTACTTCCTCCCTCCCTCCTTCTGTATACTTCCTTTTACTTTCTCCCTCCTTCTATCCCATATTCATGTTAATACTCTCAGAAACATGGCTACACGTCATCAGAAAACACAAACAGAGACAAGTCGGTAAATAGATAGATATTAAACATGGATAGAAGATAAGCTTTTCTTCATCAGAACTTTATCAGGTGGAAATCAGTGAATTGAAAATTTCTTTGAGTACTCTGGGAATTTGTTAAATAGACAAATGTCGCATTATTGGTACCACATTGTCCAGTACTGTAAGAGGGAGAAATTACCATCCTGATGAATATTTGATGTCTAGACTAAGGATATGAAGCTGTTATAATGCTACTGACTTGTATATGACATTTACTTTAGTTTGTAATGTATTTTTTTCGTTTCTTTTCCTTTTTTCTGTAGTGAATCACTTCAGCTTATTTTTGTAATTATAAGTTTTAATTCTGAATTCAAAGAATGAAATATAATTTTTTTCAAAATATAATATAATACTATTTTGAAATAAACCCATTAGATATCAAAGAAAAGTTTTTTCCTGAAAACATGGGTTGCATTTATATTTTTTCCCCCTAGTGGAACTTTTTAACACTTTCTTTTTTTCTAGATTGATTAATTGATTGATTTTCATACAGCTGACTGTAGTACCATTCATTTACTCCATCCATTCTCAACCATCAATGTCTGATCTATCTATCCACATAATCCATTCCATCAATGTCCTCATCCATCCATTCAGGAGTGTCTCATTAGCCTCTTGAACGTGTGTATTAGTTCTCGCAATCAATCATGCTGTAGAGTTGTGGTATGCTGTGAATCTTGCTTCACTGTGCTTCAACCAGCTGTCACCCCAGGAAGAATTCTTTTAGCTTTGAGCTGCCTCCCCTCTGAAGTAGTAGATTATGAAAGAGAGAAAAAATTAGATATAGATCAGAAAAAAAAGGAAAAAAGTTTCATAATGCCCTGAATTTTTTGTTTTATTATTTGTTTTATTTTTGTGATGACATGTTGAACTGGTTACAACAATTGCTCAGTAGTAATGCATATGTATTTTTTTATTTATTTTTATTTTTATCATTATTTTTAATTTATTTATTATTATTATTTTTTTTTTGAATGAAGAGCCCCCAAAATAAAAGTTAGTCTTGTGAATGTCTTAGGAGCAAAAGCTGTACAGGCTGTATCGCCAGAACGCAAAAATAAAAATAGAGAGAGAGAACTGTTGACCAACAGTTTTACGTTTTTTCTTTTTTTCTCGCCTCTGAACAGGTGGAGCTATCATTCCAAACGGGCGACATCATCTACGTGTATGGTGACATGGATGATGACGGCTTCTACATGGGTGAATTGGGAGGCCACAGGGGGCTTGTGCCTTCTAACTTCCTGCAGGATGCACCCCAGGACTACGCCGATGATCACAGGTCAGGCTCGGTAGAGCATCAGGGTACAAGCTCCTCGGAGCGGCAATCGAGGCCTTATTCCTTCACAACCCCCTATGCTTTTAACTCTTTATCAGTGTAAAGTGCATTTTAATGGCTTTGAGTAGCATAGTAAGATGATCCTTTTTTTTATAGTTATCTTTTTTTTATTATTATTAATATTATTCAGCTCAATCCATTTCAATTTAACTTGAGAGATACACGTCACACCATTCTGCTCCAACTTGAACTAAATCATGTGATATATATACAACAACATAGGTCGCGCCGTGATACCTTAGACCCCCGTGATCGAGCTCCTCCCCCGGGCCAGTCAGGGCGAGGTCCCGGCCCGGGTGCACATGGCCCACCACCACCTCCGCGCCCAGATCAGCGAGACCGCAGGAAAGGTAAGTACGGGGGGGCTAGTCTAAGGTCTACGATTTCGGTGCAGTTATAGTGTTCGTTCTAGCAGAATTGCATCTTTTCTTTTCTTTTTTTTTGTCTCTCAAGTTAACATGGAACTTTTTTTTCCCATTGTTACATACACAGTACAGATACTATTTTCAATTGTATTTTTTATCAGTGATAATGTGATCTCAAAGTTCACATTAGTAGTCCTATAAGGAATTGATATTATTTGTCATCAGGATAGTTGATGATAAATTAAGATTTTGTAACCTCAGTCTTTGTGCACAATGGCATTAACTTTACAAATATTCTTTCTACATGTAAACTCCCTCATGAGTAACGTGGGACAAAGCGAATTGTGGATAATGATAGAATATATTCTGTCTTTCCATATTTAGGATCGGAGGACTGAAGAACAAGTTTCAATCTTTCAACTTTTGCTCTTTTGTTCATGCTATGTTAAATTTATATCCCACAAGAATTTTTATTTTACATTTTATAGTTTGTTATATATAAAAGAAATTTATCTTGTGCTCTTATGTTGTTTTATGTTTGAAAATGATATGTCTTCAAGAGGTTCCTTTTCTTCTTACCTTTAACACTGTTTTCTCTAATAATAAAGGTTTTTTCCAATTAGACACTTCAAGAATTTTTTTTAAATATTTTTAACTTTCATATGTTATGTCTTCCTTCCACTGAAGAATACCTTTTTATGCATGGTTAAAGCTTAAGCATTATTGAGCTTAATCAATAGGAAACTAAAGTTGTTATTTTTAGGATATTTTTTTTATTATTCATCTGATACAACAGATGTTTTTTTGGCTCATGACTAAGTTTTGTTGCAACTCTTTTGACTACCTTGTTTTTATATATATATATCTATATTTTTTTTCCTTATGATTGAAGACTATGAGACTTGTTCTTCACTTTTGATACCAATTGGCCTCGAAATGAACAACAACAAAAAAATAATAATCTTTGCATTAAGCCCATGTTGCTGCTGATTATCTGCAGCAACATTTCATGGCACGTATATTCAAAGCAAAAGCAGAATAAAAGGTCCTTCATATTTCCTTCTTGTTTATATATATGAATCTTCCTTACATCCGAGACATTGCTCCACACCCAAATGACTTGAGGCGCTCATGTTACAATCTTGCCAGTCTTTTTTGTCAAGGACCACAGGTAGAGTGATGCTTAGGACTGACGGATCTCCTAAAATTCTATTCTCTATTTCTGTTTCTGCAGTTCAGTTAAAGGTAAGCCCGAAGAGCCGAAAGAACAGACACGGTAAATCCTCTTTCAAGGTGGAATGCCCAAGTTACTGTAGTCAACTTTGTTGGGAATGTTGTCGAACCTTATTGGTATTTAAAAACCAACGAAGAAGAACACCCTCATAGCATCCTTCTTTCCCCTCATAGGCTGGGAATGGTATTGGTATGGATTTTTTAGAATCCTTATTCTAGGTTTTGCAAGTGATTCTGACAACCCCCCTCCCCCTTCTCTAAGGGAGGTTTTGTGGCGATGTGGTAGAACTGTGATTAAAGATGAAATGATAATCGTAAATAATGATGATAAGACTTGTCATTCTGTTATCTGAAATTGTGGGTCATTCTGAAATTATTTAAGAGCTGCGAAGTAGTGTGGTAGTTATTTGATTATATGGTTGTTGGTAATGTGTGTTGGATCAGACTCAGATATAGGTGCATGGGTAGGTGTGTTGTAGGAACCTCAATATCGCTTTGGGACATAGAAGGAAAGAGGTGATTAGAATGCCTTATGGATTATAGATGTTTGTAATTTTACATATATATATATATATATATATATATATATATATATATATTATATATATATATATATATATATATATATATATATATATATATATATATATATATATATATATATGATGTATACCTTTTTGTGTGACCGATTTCATAACTAGAATTTCAAACAAACATATTTGTGCCTTTTTTATGTTATAAATCCTTCATTTCAAAATTTAGGAGTAGGCATCAATATTATAAAGTTTTGTTAGAATACATTTTTTTATTTATTGTTCAACAAAAAATATCTTTTAAGAGGTAACTACAAGTTTAATTTAGTTTGTATTGTTAGAAAAGGATTTGATGAGGAGTGATATATTTAGGAATATATGGATTAGGGTTTTTATCTTCTACTTCTTGTTTTTATGTAATAATTTTTTATGTGATGTGGCTATTTTTTAGGGAACTTGTAACTTTGTAATTGTAAGTTAACTGGAGATGGATGAATCAGTCATGTACTTAAGTATGGGTCTATAGGCACTCATTTAATGAACCGTATATTTGTTTACTTGATATGTATGTTGTTTGTGTTGAATTTTTTTTTAGCACACAAATGATTTTGTGGATTTTTTTTTACAAATGAAAGGAGTTGAATGGTGAATACAAAATTTTACCATGTAAGTGAAGTGCACTTATTGACAACTGCCAAAAGAAAGAAAGAAAGAAAAAAAAGGTCTTACTTAAACATTTACTGCACAATATTATTTGACTAGCATAGCTTGTTATAACTGCTGCCACATTATGAATGCATTTGGTAATGATACAAAGCTGCACACCTTAAATTAAAACTGCTGTCAGTGTAAGAGCTATGCCGCTAGCCACTTTCTTGCTCACGTCAGTGAAGCAACATTGCTCGTGTTACAGGTCATGGCATAGTGTTGTTGCAAAATCCAAGCACACCTCTTTTATTACGGTTATTTTTGCAACAAGTCATGAAAAAAGGCAGTGCTAAGATCCAGTATTGCTAATTGCATTCCAGCCCTTCCTCTCACCCCAACCGTCCCCAAGAGGAATGCTGCCAGCCTATGGTAGTGCCACAGAAAAGAGGGCGAAGAAAGAAAGAAAGCCACAGCAAGCCAGAGCCCCTCTGCCTCTTCATCCTCATGCTATCGCTGCGCTGTAGATTTTTCTCCTCATCTGTGAAAAAAGAAACTGTTTACAAACCCACATACAAGGGAAACTGTGACGTCCTCTTGTAATACGAAGTGATTTTGCTGACAGGACTGTGATACCTCAACTTTCAGCTTTCGAGGTCCCGACCAACGCAACCACCTCGGCAACCACCTGCACAGCCACCGTGACCGCACCTCCTATGTGTGACAATGTTTCTTCTTCGTCTGAGCTCGACTCTAGTGGCCTTTTAATGAAAACTAAAAAGCCGATTAAAGGTCAGGGCATAGGCTACAATCAAAGGAAGCCTGGGTTGTGACTTTTTTTTTCTCTTTTCTTTTCTTTTTGTCTTCTTACTTTTTTTTATGACTTGTAATTGCTTGATAACTTTTCTTTATCTTTTATTTCTGAAAGAGGTGATATTTATTGATTTTTTGTTTTATTACTTTCTGAGTCTTAAGTACAAGTTATTGCTTCAGGTGTCCTTTTGCAAAATCATAAAAAGAAAGAAAATTACTTCACAATCAATGCACACTCATTTTGCTTAAGTTATACCCAATGTGTGGCATCTGTGGCAGAAATTGGAAGTTTCTAGAAAATGGAAGCAGTCTAGTGTATCATCATGAGTTAGTTTGCATATTGTCACTTTTCAGTTTTGAATATGTATTTTTATCACAGTATTTTTATTTGTTAATTTTTCTACTTTTTTTATTATTATGTTTTTTAATATTTGGGGGGCCATTTTGACTTATGTGTTTTTTTTTGTATTTGGAAATATTTGTATTTTCTTTTCTTTGTTTGTTTAATAGAGTTTTGTTTTTTGTCATATCTTTTTTAAAAAGTCATGCATCTGAACAAACTTTCAGATACTGTGATGGAATTTTTAGCAGTCTTTTTTAGTGTTCGTCTGAAACAACCTCAGCTGCTGCTGCTTCTACTACAACTTCTACTATTACTACCACTACTACAACGACTACAATGTCAAACATCACTGCTTCATCTACTTCTACTTCTTCTGCTCCTCCTTCTACTTCCACAACTACAACTAATAGTAAAGTTCCGCCACTTTCTTCTAGTAAGGTCTCTCCTGCACCTCCTCCTTTAGAATCATCTAAACCGTCTGTTCAAGATAAGAGTGAGAAGAAAGGTTAGCTGTTGTTGCTTTTGGAGTTTGGTTTCAGCTTTTATAGTTTTTATTTGTGTTGGATCTTTTTTTATTAATTTTCTCATGGTTATTTTCTGCTGTTGTTTGTTTTCTAATATTTCACTAGTTTGAATAGTGCATTTGTTGTCTTTTTAGATGGGAATATGTTTGTTATGTACTGTCATATTTTATTTTTTGTTTTTTTATTTTCTTTCATCATACTTAGTATCATTAGTTTCATTTAGTATCATTGTAGCTTCTCCTGTTTCCAGAATCGGTAATGGGATTTTTTGGGAGTTTCATTTCAAGCAAAGTGGCACAAGCCACAGATGTGACAAAGCAGGCTGCACAGGCTGCAGGAATCACAGACAAAGTCACAGAAGCCACAGATAAGACCTTAAGCACAGAGGCTGATAGCGTAAAAGAAAAAAACGTCATGGAGGAGAGTGTTGGTGATGAAAAGGTCGCTAAGCATGATGCGCTTGCTTCCCACGCAGAGCAGAAGTCTGGTCAGGGCTGCCCCGAGACCAAAGAGGCGGTTGGTACGGTGACACTTTCCGAAAAGGACGATGTGAGTGAGCCCAAGGGCACTCCATCATCTCAAGTGGAAAAGGCAGAAGCAGAGTTGAAAAATGAAAGCGAACCAGAGAAAGGTTAGCTCTCTGGCTTTATCCCTTCTATGGCCTTATTACTGTTAATTGATTTTTATTTCTTGTTAACCTATTTGCAACTGTCACAAGATATTTGCACTTTTGAATTGCCAAAGCCAGTCAAATCCTTCGAGCAGATTTTTAAGAGTTTCTCTTACTAGTTCAGTGAAATCTCCTTGTCCCTCATAATTGTGCTCCATTGATGTACAAACTGGATATCCTTTTCAGTTCCAGTGCTATTTTCAGAGTCACAGGATAAACTCTCCATTTCAGAGCAACCACGAAGAGGGTTTTTTAGCAATATCATGAGTGCCACAAAAGCCTCTTTGACTAGGGCTGCCACTGTAGTGAAGGAGGGGTCAGCCAAGACAACCACTGACCCAGCTCCTGAAGGGGACGTGGCCAAGGAAGAGGGCAACAAGGGTGGAGTCTTTTAACTGGATATGATTCCTTATTATGCTAGTTTAGTAGAGTTCTCTCTCTCCACCTCGTAAAGCTCATGATTTATTATAGCATATGAGATGCTGTGAACTAGAGATTTATCGTGCTCCCTCTGGCATATGGCTTATACTTACATGTCATGTATAGAAATATGTATATATGATTATTTTTTCCATCTTTATCATATTTTGTACATACATATTTTATCAATCTCTTCAGAAAGAAACAACAGCAAATTAGAGCTAAATATTGCTGATTAGGAAAGTTTCTGTATTATGTGCCTGTATGCAGTTAGAGAGGGTTCTCTTTTAACACCCTGCTTGTAGAATACATGGCTGATCTAATCTCATCTCAGAATTTTAAAACCAATAATAATGATAATAATTTAGCAATAGGCTAGACTTATTCTTCATTTCCTTTTAGAAGAATAGCTTTTTTTATTTGCATTCTTAGGTTTCTTGGATTTGTCTACAATACCCAGCTATAATAGCCTTTCATATTGCTCAGGGATTTACCAGTGACGACTCAGTGTTTCTCAAGTAGCGTAGTTGAGTAATAGGAAATGCTAGAAAACAAACAGGCAAATGTCTGTCCATGGTTTGACATGGATCTGACTGTCAGAATGAATATAGAAATAGATGTAGAATAGAGTAGCTGGCATAGGTATCCTTGGTAGTCAACTGCAAATATGTTAGTGTTACAAATCTCTCTCAGGTGTGAACCAAGTGACTCTTATATTTGCAATATAGATGACTGGTGCTAATTAGTCATGTTGTCCAGTCTCTTTGGATTTGGTCTGAAGGCATTCAGTAATGTAATGTCTTCATTCAGGCACAGATCTATCATAACTGTACTTACATTAACATGAGTGCCAACACAGAGACACATTCACACAGTAATAAATGCATTCTTTCATGTACATGATCAGATTTTATGTTTCTTTCTCTCTTGTGCTCTAGTACTTCTTTTTTCTATCCCACTTCTCAAGTTTAGTCTCTTGTCTTTTCCTTCCCATTTTTTCTTTTCCCCTCTATGCTTTGTCTCCATCTCATTTTTTTCTGAGTCTTTTGATTATGCTTTTCTCACTTTTCCTTCTTTCCTCCTAGTAACATTTAAATAGATGAAAAGTGGGCCATTCACAAAGACACAGCTCTTACTTCAGCAGTGGCAAAAAGTAAGGGTTCCTCTGGGCGGCCAGAAGGAGACCTCGAAGACAAGGGGAGCTGAAGGCATGACTTACTGTGTTCCTGATGAGAAACTTGTCAGGTCCTGCCAGTAAGTGCAAGCAGCCCACATGCCGCACCAGACTGCTTCACACACACTCACACTCTCCTTTGCTCTCACACATACACTCACACTCACTCACATGCCAGAAATCACGAACACTCTTTTAACTGTTGAACCAAGAGATTGTTGACAGACCTCTGAGGTCCTGTTAGACCACTCACTAGTAATGGCTTGTGGATGGTCAAACAACCTTAATATTGTCAGTCTCTGGGATTGACATGCAGGTAACCACAATATCAGTCGCAAGTACACCACGCCAGTCCATCAGCACAGCAGTGCTACTAGGATTATGATCACATAGTATTAACCAGTGCTTTAAGGACACTCAGCCTTACACATTACACTATGTTGTAATGAAAGCAGCAGCCTTAAACACGTCTTTTTTTTTTTTTTTTTTTTTTTTTATTCCTCCTCCTTTTCCCATATAAAAAAATTCACAATTTTTGATGTTAGGTAATGTGAGTACTAAGCCTTTTTGGCACACCCTCCAATTAAGACTAGTCATAGGAAGGTAGAGCAGCATCACTGTAGTCAAGATGAGCTAGTCAGCAATACTAATGAATCTCAAATTTTGTGCTCTGATGTGTAGGATAGGGTATTTGTAGTATACACAGTAAGGTTTGTAATCATCATCCCTCTTTGTAATACTATCTGTATCTGAGACACTTTTAATCTTCACAATAATAAGTCAGTATTGATTCTGTTTTCTTTAGAATGCATGATAAAAATTGCTATAATCAATCCTGCCTCATGGATTAAATGTGTCTTGGAGTCAGCCATCGAAAGCAAACAGGTAGCCAGGTTAGATGTTTGTTATTGCACAGACGACTAGGTATGGTGCTTTGGGTCGTATGTTTAACTGCGTTATTTGTTTCTTGTTTTTGATACACCAAATATTTACACTCAGTAGCTACTTAATTTTATATCCTACTCACTTTGGAGCAGATGAACTATATATATACATCTTATAACATCATATGGTACTTGATTTTCATTTGTACTGAGCACATGAAGTAAATGTAAGCCAGTACACTTGAATTATTGCTTTGTCATTGGAAGATTTGTATTGTCTTCCTTGGTTTGGGATTGTTTTGGTGTATCCTTACACGTTAGGGTATTACCTTATTAATGTCCCGTGTTGCCTACATACTCTTTCAGGTAATTATAATAAAACCATGTATGTTTTTCACAAACATGGTAAGAGACTAAACTCCAGTTTCTACCAGAAAGAAGCAGGCACTTTGTTGATTTACACTCTCTTCCTTAAAAAAAAAGAAAGAAAAAAAGATGAAAAGAAAGATATCTAGACCACCTCAGAGGACAGTCCAGGTATTCGCACAGATAAACCTAGCCCCACCCGCCCATTACCCTCCCCAGTCTGTCCACCCTTTCCTACCTATACTTTAAAGTCCTCCACTGCCCTACCCTCCAACCCCACACCCCACCCCTAAAAGCAGGGTGACGGCTTGTTAGAAAAATCCCATTGTAATGAAGATATGAACCAGATGCAGAAACTTTGACTGTTCCTTAATTAGCTGGTACTAGTTGGTGCTTCTTGTAGACTCCTTTTATTTCTATCACTTGAAAAACACTTTACTTGGATTATTATGTATGTATGGATCAAACAGCTGCTCAAGGGAGCTGCCTGTATTATATCCATATTGGATTCTGAAAAGTTTTTATATATATAGTATATATTTTTACCCCTATTCTCACTATATCTCTATGTGTATTCAAGTACAGGTATCATTATGATGTCTGCCCAGTATATTAGAATATATATATAATTTTTTTTCCGTAATCCCAATTATAAATAAACAAAAAAACAAAGGCTACAGTTCTGCAGTCGCACAGTGCAAATTGAAAATTATGGAATGTGTCTGCCTAGATTATTTTTCTTTTTTTCACACATAAGTTTAAGACTTTTTGCTGTTTTATATTTACTGTTTCCAGATATTTTTTACATCTATGATTGTTTCGGATAATGAGTGTTGTACGATGTATAATTAATTTCCCTCAGACTATGAACTCTTTAATAAATGATGTTTTTTTCTTTTTTGCAAGAGGGCGGCGTGAGCTTTACTTTCAAGGGCCTTTTGAGTGTTCCTTTGGTGTTTTCATTTTTCTCGATGTACGTCAATCATGTGTCAGTTCTGACCGCAGTTCCTTCTTCTCCTTCACCACTTTTTTTTTTTTTCTCTCTCTCTCTCTCTCTCTCTTTCTCTTTTTCCTGCTGTTTGCTAACCCTAATCCTCTTGCCTTCCAATTCTATCTCAAGACCAAAGATTACATATCTATTCAAACCTCTTTTTTCAACTCCAGAGATTAAATACAGACATGAGATACAAGGGAAATCCCAATTTTCCAGTCATCTGTACTTCCTCAATGAGTGCTTTAGTTGAACACATACTTCATTTACAATTTTTTCGTACATTCTTATAATTTTCTAACCCTGTTCTTTTATTACCATAAGACACAGTAACACTTGTTTCTGCTTCAGTATTTCAGTATTCAGATATATATTTCATGTATCTTTCTTTTCATTTTTCTTTTCTATCCGTGACTGTTTATCACTGATTATTAACACCTATACTTCTAGATCTTCTGTATATCATTGATTATTAACACCTGCTTCTATACCTTCTGTACCCTCTCCTTGTCATCTGTTAACTCAATCAAATTGATGCCAAATCATATTATGTCAAATATCTGATTCTCTCTCAGATTTATTTTCTATCATTACTGTGGGCCTATTGTACACTCGATGCAAATTCCCTTTTTTTCTGCCAGTATGTAGAACAAAGTCATACCCCATTCATGAACAGATCTCTTCCGGGCTTCATCATAGAATCTCTTCCATTTTTCAACAACTCTCCAACGTTTACTGAGAACATTCATTTGTCACACACAGGCTAGAGGGAAAAGGTATAACCTCCTACATACACCTGGTTCTTTGGCTTCTCAACTTCTCTTTAGTTTTGTGGTTTTCTTCATCACCTCGCATCCCTTTCATCTTCATCACTATCATAGATTGGAACAGATATTTTTAAAATTTCTTTACATATTTTGGTGCACCATGATGTTTGTTTTTGTGCCTGCAAGGAAACAGAATTTGAAGCACGACAACAAACACCATGTTGAGCCCAAGCCATTAACATTACCCTTATCTTTCTGGTTTTGATAAGTATTTACTAAGATTTGTTATCGGGGAAATAACATTCTACACAATTCATGCTTCAACCTAGAAGAGACTGATACCTGTCAAGACACAAGGGGACATTTCCTGATGTAAATATAACTTATTCAACCTTTCTTGATTTGAAATTTGGAAGTAGTTCTTCCTTGGTTTTCTTCCCTGTAGTATGTCATCTCATATTGCATACCATTGGTGGAAGTGGAAGTAAATCTTCATAGACACATTCAGCCATTTGTCTGACTTAGAATTTTGCGTTCATATTTGTCATTTGTGCCAATAAAACAGCTTTTAGCTACAGTCAGACCACATTAACATGATACTGATTTCCTACCTTGTGTATGTTTTTTTCTCTCTCTCTTTCTCTCTCTCTCTCTCTTTCCATTTATTTAAATATCACCAGTGAGCCCCACATCACAGGATACATCAGGTTCCTCTCTTGTAGGTATATACTTGTCTTCTGCACAGTATTCAAGTGTGAAAGTAGCACTGTGCTGTCTCCTCTTTTGCATTTTAACAAATGAGTTGACCCAAATCACACAATTTAATGTTTTTCGACAGACTATTGAGAGAGGGAAGTTAACCCCTTGGCCCATGTGCTACACAGATCTGTAAGTTATTCATTAGTGCAGATTTGGAAGTGCTTCAATCTCTCTTGATTTTTTCATAGTGCTTTTACCTAGAAGGTTTCTGTTTAAGGATTAGTGGTTATTTTCTTCTCTCTCACTTTTTGATGATTTATTCTACTGTTTGATTTTTCATTTACTGATTTATATTTTTTGGCAAGTAGTGATACTGAATCATTTTTTAAGTGTGTGAAGTTGACTTATAGATGTCAGCTTTTTGCACGTATGGGTGTACCAATTTCTGTTCCCATTTTAATTGTCATTATTTTTAATCATAATCCTCTTTCTGTTTACCTTTCACATTCTTGGATACTTAAGAAATGTAGGTAACCCTTTTTCTACCGATTACCCCAAGTTAACAAGTCTTCGATTCCCTCGTTTACACACACAGTCCAAGATTAGGGCAACACCGTATTGAACTAAAAATAAAGAATGAGATTTGAATATCAGACACATCCAACCCCTTGCATTTGGTGTGGCAAATAACTTATTCGCTTCTAATGAAATGGTAGCCTTTCTCAAAAATACATTTTTGGCCAATTCTCTTTTGTCTTTACCACACTTAAAACTGCCACTAAAATTCCAATGATTATATATATCTGTTTCTTTTGGTAACATTGTAGAAGTCTTTATTCTGGAGAGAAACAAACTGATGTA